AATTTTATATTTTTTGTATGTCTAGTTTTTAAAATTTGCGTTCAACGTATTGTTTATTTCAGTTCTCTTTATCATAAATAAGCTTATATCTTTCGAACTTTAATTTCAGTGCATGTTTTGATCTTTAGATATTTTTGAGTTTTGAATTATATATCTTTAAAAAGAAGTAGCAAATGCTTTTCTTTGGGTGATATCTAAGTAAAAAGCTTGTACCAAATGCTTTACTTGCATGAGTAAATCAAAGAAAAGTGTGATTCTTTTTAACTCAAGAAAAGTGTGATTCTTTTTCCACAAGTAATGGATTATATGAGTAGAACTTTCTCCACAAAATAAAATCATATATTATAAGAAAATAAGGATTGGGTAATATGTTGTATAATATATCAGTTAATCTAATCAGATTCGTCGGATTAAAAAGAAGAGATCATAATCTTTGGGAAGCAAAATATTTGTATAATATTTAACTCATTGAACAGGTTACAACAAAAAAGACAAGAAAAGAACTTGTTGAGCGAGTCGATAATAATACCTAAAGACCTCATAATACAACTTCATATGACAATGAATTGAGGACTCTATATGCAAAATAATTTAGAGTCAATTATCATCATTTTAATTCTTTTATATATAATTTGTTCCGTTGAGAAATCTCATGCTAATTCCAGTAATTCATAGACATGTATTTTTATGATTTACTGGTTATTACAATGTTTCAATTATATACTCGTTTTTTATATATAAATTATTTAAAATCAATTATATGTTCCAATTTTATATGGTTAATCCTATATTACATTCTTTTCTCCTATGAACAATGATGTACCAAAGAATATAATATAAATTAAATAATATATGAAACTTCAGCAACAAGTAAAAGGCTTATATCAAATGCTTTACTTGCATGTATAAATTAAAGGATGGTATATTTTTTGTTTAAACTCAAGAAAAGTATAGTTAGTGGATTATATAAATATAACTATCTCATTAAAATAAAATCATAGAATATAAGAAAAAGGTCGAATAAGGATAACATAATATATATGTTTTTCAATTGTTTATTCCCGATCTAACCTAGTTATTTTTTCTCTATATAGGTACTCTGTGGAGGATATATATATATATATATTTATTATGGATACTCAACTGTTTGAAGTTAAAGCGGTAGCAAGCGAAAAAGAAGAAGAAGAAGAATATTTTGATCATTCAGATGAAGAGGATTATGTGTACGATGATGATTCTGGTCATAGTCTTTCTGGTAGGGATACTATTGGCTCCCAAACTACGACTCATGGAGATCATAATCTCTCAGATTCAAGAATTACTGATAGTTATAATAATCAAGTCACACAAAAATATAGTTATAAGTACATTCATCAAATGAAAAGCTCAAATGGTAATTCTCTTTCCTTACTTGTTTTATTACAAATATATATGTATATAGATTTTTTTAAATTAATTAAGTGATTTTTTCCAGGACTTTTAGGACACATAAGAGATAAACCACCACGACACTACCTACTCATAATAAACAATTTTTCGTCACTGTTGGATTTACATGTGAAAAAAATTGAATCAGGTGTCTTTACTGCAGGAGGTTATAAATGGTGTGTTATACTTTATATATCAACTTTTATAATTAGTGAGTTACAACACATGCATATATATGCAGATTAAACACTTACATACAAGCTATTTCTAAACATTAATACCATAAACTATTTATTATATTTAATATATATATATACATGTCAATGTGATGATGAAATAGTAAATTGATTAGGAAGTTGATTCTGTACCCAAATGGAAATGAAAAGGCTAGAGTGGAAAACTGCATCTCATTCTACTTGGCTATGGAAGATACAACTTCCTTACCTCCTAGGTTTGAGGTCAATGTTGATCTGAGAGTTTTTGTCTTGGAGCAGTTACAAAAGAAGTTTATTGCAGTCCAAGGTAGCTTTATCAGTTAATGTTTTCTCTTTTTAGTATTATATATATATATATATACAAGTTTTTCAATGAATGTTTTTAATAGTATTTCAAATTACTTGCACGTTAATAAAGATTTTTAATAACTTTTCATTCATATTGTAATTTGTATGCAGATTCTAAACGACCGATAAGAGTTTTTAATGGAAGTCGCCTGGTATTAGGGTTTGCAAAATTTATTTCTCTTGAAAATTTTAAAGATGAAAATAATGGATTTCTTCTTGAAGATTCTTGTACATTTGGTGTGGAGGTTTTTGTTGCAAAATCTACTCGAGAATACGATAATCTTTTTGTTAAAGATAATTTAGTTCAGATATCTCGTTTGAAGTCCAAAGAATACTATACTAATGGCTCCATGGTTCTTACAACTAAAACAGAACAAGAGTAAGTAATTACACAAATAACCGATATACACTTTCACTTCATATATAATCCCTTTAAATTATGAAATTAATTATTTTTTAATGTTAAATAATCTTTGTTTTTTTTTTTATTATAGGAATTTAGTAGCTCTTACTTCACGAGATTCCTCTTTCCAACTAGACCAAAACCAAGGTATATATAATTGATGAATGAAGCTCTTAAACAATAAATCAAAATACACTTTAATTTAAGTAGGAGTACTTTAGAAGCACAAAGTATTTAATTTTGAAAAATAGTGTGCAATGTTTTTTTATTTTGTTAAGATTGAAAGCTGATTTTACGTTTATGCTTTTAGGAATTTTAAGAACTATAAGAGATTTTCCACCAGATCACATATTTGAAATAAAATCATTCTCGTCGCTTCGCAAAGACAAGATTCAGAGACATGAATTTAACACTTTTCAAACTGGGGGTCTGAACTGGTATTCTAGATATACGTGTATGTATGTATATATATTATTATATATTTAGTTGTAAGTGAGCTAATAATTTTTCTTTGGATTGTAGGAGGCTATGTTTTTATCCTGAAGGATGCAAGGAAAGAAATGGAAGTGGTCATATTTCTCTTTACTTGGAAATTTTAAAAGAAGGAACTTTTCCTTCTCAATGGGAGGTGACTGTGAACTTTAAAATGTTTGTTTTTGACCAAATAAGAAACAAGTACCACATTATCCAAGGTATCTTTTCTCACTTAAAATCAATACATATATATATATATATAGATATACACTATGAGTATTTATTAAAATATTTAAATTAATATATATATATATAGATGCTGATGGGGTTCCGAAGTGTTTTAATGGAATCACGAAAGAATGGGGCTTTGCACATTTAGTCTCCCAAAAAACATTCAATGATCCTCAAAGTGGATTTCTTGTCAATGATCATTGTAAATTTGGTGTAGAGATATTTGTTATTAAGCATATGTGCAACAAAAACGTTATGATAAAAGATCCTGCTAATTGCAACACATACACTTGGCTGATTGACAACTTTAGTACATTAAACTCGAGAAGACACGAGTCTATGACCTTCACCATATGTGGAAGAAAATGGTATGTATGTTATATAATATCTATTTATGTATGTATGAGTATGTATTGTCCTTACAACTAATGAATTTTTTGAAAGTAATAATATGTTGGTTTAATGGATAAAATATTTGTATTTTACTTAAAATCACAAGTTTGAATATCATTTAGAATGTAAAATTTATTATTTTGTGGGTATGTTATAAATCGACAGTAACCGACTTATAATATTTGATTTAATAAGAGTAAATATTTAACTCATTGATATATTGATGGGATTGTATTGACATTGTTCGACATAGTCTCAATGAGAGTATAAATTTTTGAGTGAAAAGAACATTACGAACAATCAGGTTCTCTTAGTTAAGATATCTATAAAAATTTTAAAAACGATTGAATTTTTTAATACAAAAAATATAAACTTTCCAACATTGAATGTTATTAGTTAATTTATACCATCTACTATTTCAGGCAATTAATAGTTTATCCAAAAGGAGATACCGGTGTAGAAGCTGATAAATGGCTCTCACTCTTCCTGTCCTTAGTTGACGCAAAATCCTTACCTTTGAAGCAGGAGCATCACATAAAGTATAACTTACGGATTAGAGATCAAGTCACTAATAACCATTGTGAGAAATCATGTAAGTCTAAACTTTCACATTTACTTTTGATCTCATAGTTTATTTTTTTTTAAAAAAATAATAATTAGTTATAAGTTCATTATTTCCAACGTCATTTTTTTTAAAGAAATTTCTAACATTATTTTTATTTTTTTTTTTCAGTGACTAGTATATTTAAATATCCTTCTTCGACAATTTGGGGCTATAAAAGATTTATTTCATTATTAGATTTGCACGATAAATCAAAAGGTTATATTTGCAAAGATACCTTAATAATTGAGGTGATATTTACTTCCATAGTTGTCCATAATGTTTTGTTGGAAATTTAGGTTCTAGATTATGTGTAGTTATATTCAATGGGCAGTTGTATCACCAAAATATCATATATTCTAAAGGTTGTGAACATGTACATATAAAAATATGTAGCTTCAATTATGTTTATTAGAATTTTATTTGAATTGTGTTGTAAGCTAAGTAGAATGAATGTGAAATTATGTATTCATATAGAAAATAAAAATTTACAAATGACAAAAATATATTATTGTATCGATAGATGCAGCCTTCTTTCGTGCAACTCCACCATGTGAATGATAAGATTTTTGATTTCGTGTTCATTAAACTATATATATATATATATATAGCAAACTTGCATAAATTATAATTGAAAAGTATGAATAAAAAATATGTTAAAATCGGGACCAAAATGGTACGAAAAGGGTGTCTCACAACTTCGGGTAATTAGATAGCAAAGCCTCCTAGAAAACCTAATTATTATCATGAAATTTTAAGAGAGTTTCTACTAATTTATTTGAGGTGGAATTAGATATCTAAAGTAGGTACGATTCAAGGTGGTCAAGGTGAAAAAATGTGAGGCACTTATTACCACCATGATAATATAAAGTTTTATTCATCGTCTCTCTCTCTGTCTCTCTCTCTCTCTCTCTCTGTGCCTAGCTCTGTCTCATCGTCTCTCTGGCTGATACCCTTTCTGCCTCTGTCGCCCTGTCGCCTTCCTTGTGAGCTTCCCTCTTCCTGATGCATGCCTCTCTACCATGGTCCTATATGAGCTTCTCTCTCTCTCTCTGTGCCTAGCTCTGTCTCATCGTCTCTCTGGCTGATACCCTTTCTGCCTCTGTCGCCCTGTCGCCTTCCTTGTGAGCTTCCCTCTTCCCGATGCATGCCTCTCTACCATGGTCCTATATGAGCTTCTCTCCTTTATTCGCCATTTATTTGGACAATGAAGAACATATCAAACGGCGCCGTTTTTTGGTATTTCTGGTGAGCTGGGTTTGGTTTGTTTGGGGTGAAATTAAAGGAGGCTTCTGATTCTTCTTTTTTTTTAAAAAAAAAAAAAATTGAGTTGGATTTAATAAGAAAAAGATTTTTTTCCCTTTTCGGTGTCCTAAAATTAAAATTTTGAATTTAAATTAACAACAAAAAGATTTTGAAATATATTTGAGTTAAACAAAGGATAATAATAATAATAATAACAAAATTAATCTGAACAAAATGAGAGTATTATAACGGGAATGTGTTAGACACACATCTGGTAGTGTAGACTAATTAATTAAAATTATTACCGATATGTATATTTGAACTAGTTAGTCACTATGCAAGTGTGTAATCGTGATATTTATTCATAAGTAAAATTTATTTACGTAACATATTAGGAGATATAGATTAAAAAATACTTTAAAATAAAGACAAAGAACTCAAACGAATTCTTCGCAAAGTCCTCTTCATAAACGTTTTCTCAAAAGCTTGACCAAATCTTACATTGAGATATTTTCATTATGGAAAAATACACAAATTGGGAAAGAACAAAATTATTTTTCTCAAGTGCGAAACTCGATCTACTTCAAATCAACTTCCTCGCAAAAACATATTTACGACGTCGTAAGAAAGAATTAAATGGTGGAACTATAAACGAAAATCTAGACCATACCAAAAAAGGAAAGATCATATTCTCTCTTATACTTTTTCAAGATTATATTTTCTGAACTTAAAAGGAGATTTTGCTTGTCATGGTTGAGAAACATACTGTAAATAGAGTATTTAAAATGATAATATTCGAAATAAAAATATTTTTAAAGAAGAATTTGAGACAACTTTTAGTTTGTGTTGTTAGCTTTAAAAATGTTATTAGAGTAACTTTTCGGTAAATTTTTTTTTATAAAAATAGATGTTATGTTTCTGGCTGAAATAATTTTCTAGAGTTAATTTGAAATAATTTTCTAAAGTTAATTTAGAAAGTATTGTCACATTAAAAGTATTGAACTGATGAACTTAACCTAAATATATAAATATATAATATTATAAGAGATATACAAATATATATATATAGGGATAATATATTTAAAAGCCCTTTGTACTATTCAAATGAGTTTAAATCAATTACTTCATTATTTTTCACTTCAATTATAAGACGTATTTTTAAATTTTATTCGAAAAAACCCTTATTTTTAACAACATATCTAATACTTGCTAGATGTATGCCCCCGTGGCATGAGATATGTCTACGAAAATATTGAGTTTTAAAAATATTACCGGCATGCCAACTACATAATTGTTTTGTCTTTACTGATGTGCTTTTTTATAACATTTTATTTTCAGTTGTCGTCGTTAAACTGGGTGATAGTACTTAAACGGGAGACTGAAAAATATTGATTGGTATTGGCACCAGAAATTTCTTTGTGGTTTTATGCCTTCTTGTTATCTTTTTATGTATTTAAATTTAATTTATAACTATTTAAAAATAATAAAAAAAGAAAGGAAAAAAAAAAAGATACGAAGTGATTGTCGGTGTGGCAATCACATGGCGACCACGCATGCAACATTTTTAAAATCAAATGCTTACATAGATCCATCAGTCTACTACATAAATATCTGTTAAACGGCGTTAGACACATCATTCATGATAACAGATTATTCAAATAAAATTTGAAAGTTTAGGTTACATATGAACTAAATAGTTTGAATTTTTCTTTTTTTAGTTTTGTTTTGGATTTGAGTTTCATACGGGCTAAAAGAGTAGATAGGATAAAGATTAATTTAGGTCTTTACATTAAGTCCGAGCTAATCAAAAGAGCAAAATTAGAGGGTAGGAGATGGGTTTTTATCATGTATATATTTTCTTCAAGATTTTCATGGAGAAAAGCATTCGATACATCTTATTATATCTTCTAAGGTTTTGATATTAGAATTGTAAGTTCAAAATTTATTTTCGAGAAAATTTTCCATATGGAATTTGTTAATGACGCATTGATCTACTATGAAACCTTATTTTATGGATTATTGAACATAAAAAGAATTCGCGATTACTTCCATTTGTTTTCAAGTTTGATATCCTCCTTCGGGTATGTAAGGGACTTTTTTTTTCTTTTTTTAATAATTAGATTGTTGATTCTTAACATTCGATCTACTCCTTCGTATATAACAGGGCGGCTTTTCCTTTTAATTTTTTTTAAAAATTCTCCTTGAATTTGAGAGCAAATCAATTTTAGCCTGAATTCCTACAATAACAAGATTGGAGGACAAGCTAACATCATGAAGAAACATATGTATTTAATTGATCATACGAGCTGTGTTGATTATAACAACTTCTCTAATTTTGTTGAGAACAAAATTACTTATAGTAAAATACTTAAAAGTGAAATCACCATTTGACAAAATTATCTTTAGTAAACTTCCTAATAAAAAGAAAACATTTACTAATTTGAGAAAATTAAGAAGTGTTATGCTAATATAGAGGTTTACGAAGAGAATAACAACTCATTCTCTTTAATTTTTACATTTTTTTTGTCGTCTTAGTTCCTCAAATTTGTATTCAATGTATTGTCTAATTCAGTCCTCTTTATCATAAATAAGCTTGTATCTTTTGATCTTTAAATATTCTTGAGGTTTGAATTTGGTATGAAATTGAAACTACATATCTTTAAAAAAGAAGTGTCAAATGCTTTTCTTAGAGTGATATGTAAGTAAAAAGCTTGCATCAAATGCTTTACTTGCATGTGTAAATCAAAGTATGGTATATTTATTCTTTCTAGCCAAAGAAAAGTATGTCTCTTTTTCCACAAGTAATGGATTGTATAATTAGAACTTTCTCCTTGAAATAAAATCATATAATATAAGAAAAATGGCAAGTAAGGATTTGCATAATATATATAAGTTTTTTAATTGTTTGTATCCAGTCTAACCTACTTATTTTTCTCTATATAGTTTTTGCATCGATGATCTACATACGTGTATATCTGTATCCTCACATATTTCAACTTGTACATGTAATTAAGAAAATGGAAGAAAAAAATTTTGATCATTCAGGTACAAAAGTTACATCGATCAAATTCTGCAAAATGAGTTAAGTGTTGTTGTTTTGTGTACTCGGATGTTGTGCTCGTCAATGTTAATGTCGTGTTTTTTTCATTCTTGAACATGTCGTTAAATTAGTACTAATCTAATCAAATCCGTTGGATTAAAAAGAAGAAATCACAACCTTTGGCAAGTAAAATATTTGTATAATATTTAAACTCGTTGAACCGGTTACAAAAAAAAACTTGTTGAGCCAGTCACTCATAACACAACTTCATATGACAATAAATTGGGGAGCCTATATATACAATAATTTAGAGTCAAATACCATCATTTTAATTCTTTTATATAAAATTTATTCTGTTGAGAAATCTCATTCTAATCCCCGGTAATTCATAATTGGTACTTGTTTTATTATTTATTGGTTACTACAACGTCTCAATTATATACTTGTTTTCTATATATAAATTATTTAAATTCAATATGTTCTAATTTTATATGATTAATTCTATCTTAGTTTTTCTTCCTTCTACGTACAATGATGTACCAAACAATATAGTATAAATTAAATAATATATTAAACTTTAGCAACAAGTAAAAAGGCTTATATCAAATGCTTTACTTGTATGTGTAAATTGAAGTATAGAATATCGTTTTCTTTAAACTCAAGAAAAGTATAGTTAGTGGATTATATAAGTCGAACTCTCTCACTGAAATAAAATCATAGAATATAAGAAAAAAGGTCAAGTAAGGATTGCATAATATATCAATTTTTCAATTGTTTGTTCCCAAGCTAACCTAGTTATTTTTTCTTTATATAGGTTCTGCGTGGAGGATATATACACATATATATATTATGGATACTCAAGTGTTTGAAGTTAAAGCAGTAGCAATGAAAATGGAAAAAGAATATATTGATCATTCAGATGAAGAGGATTATGTGTACGATGCTGATTCTGGTCATAGTATTTCTGTTAGGGATACTACTGGCTCCCATGATTTTGGTCATAGTATTTCTGTTAGAGATACTACTGGCTCCCAAACTACAACTTTTGGAGATCGTAATTTGTCAGATTCAAGAATTACTGATAGTTACAATAAAGTACTCACTAAAAAATATAGTTACAAGTACATTCATCAAACAGAAACTTTATCTGGTAATTCTCTTTCCTCACTTCTTTTATTCTAAATATAGATTTATATATATATATGTGTGTGTATACAGGTTTTGGTGAATTAATTAAGTAATTCTTCTTCAGGACTTTTGAAACACATAAGAGATCAGCCACCGCGTCACTACGTATTCAAAATAAATAATTTTTCATCATTATTGGAGTCACAAGTGAAAAAAGTTGAATCAGGTGTCTTCCTTGTAGGAGGTTATAAATGGCGTGTTATATTTTATATATCATCTTTTATAATTAGTGAGTTACTACACATGTATGTATATGCATATTAAACATTTACATATAAGCTATTTCTAAACATTAATACCATAAGTTATTTATTATATATAATGTGTATATATATATATATGTCAATATGATGATGAAATAGTAAATTGATTAGGAAGTTGATTCTGTACCCGAATGGAAATGAAAAGGCAGGAGGGGAAAACCACATCTCCCTCTACTTGGCAATGGAAGATACAATTTCCTTACCTCCTACGTTTGAAGTCAATGTTGATCTGAGAGTTTTTGTCTCAGAGCAATTACAAGGGAAGTTTCTTGCAGTCCAAGGTAACTTCATTAAATAATGTTTTTCCTTTTTAATATATATATATATATAAATTTTTTAATGAATGTCTTTAATTATTTTTTCAAATTACTTGCACATTAATAAAGATTTTTAATAACTTTTCATACATAATTTAATTTGTATGCAGATGCTAAACGACCGATGAGAGTTTTTAACAGAAGTCGAACAGTATTGGGGTTTGCAAAATTTCTTTCTCTTGAAAATTTTAAAGAGGAAAATAATGGATATCTTTTTGAGGATTCTTGTGTATTTGGCGTAGAGGTTTTTGTTGCTAAATCAACTCGAGAATACGATAATCTTTTTGTTAAAGATAATTCAGTTCAGATATCTCGTTTGAAGTCTCAAGGATACTATACTAACATCTCTAATGCTCTTGTCACTAAAACGAAAAAAGAGTAAGTGATTGTACAAGTAAACTATATATACTTCCAGTTCATATATAATCCCTTCTAATTATGGAATTAATTGATGTTTAATGATAAATAGTTATCTTTTTTCATTATAGGAAATTGATAGCTCCTATTTCACAAGATTCCTCTTTGCAATTAAATCAAAGTGAAGGTATATATAATTGATAAATGAAGCTCTTAAACAATACATTAAAATACACCTTAATATAAGTAGGAGTAGTTTATAAGTACCAAGTATTTACTATGGGAAAATAGTTTGCAATTTTCTTTTTTGTTTTGTTGAGATTGAAAGCTGATTTTATATTCATACTTTCAGAATTTTAAGAACCACAAGAGATTTTCCACCGGCTCATATATTCGAAATAAAATCATTCTCATTGCTTTGCAAAGACAATATCCAAAGACATGAATTTGACACTTTTGAAGCTGGAGGTTTAAACTGGTATTCTAGATATATATGTGTATATATATTATATATATAGTTGTAAATAATCTTATAATTTTTTTCTAAATTGCAGGAGGTTATGTCTTTATCCTGAAGGATGTAAGGAAAGAAATGGAAGTGGTTATATTTCTCTTTACTTGGAAATTTTAAAGGAAGGAACATTTCCTTCTGGGTGGGAGGTGAATGTGAACTTTAAAATGTTTGTTTTTGACCAAATAAGAAACAAGTACCACATTTTCCAAGGTATCTTTTCTCACATAAAATTAATTCATATATATATGTACATACATACACAATAAAAATGCATTAAAATGTTTAAATTAATACATACAGATGCTGATGGGGTTCCAAAGTGCTTCAATGGAATCACGAAAGAATTGGGTTTTACTCATTTAGTCTCCCAGAAGACATTCAATGATCCTCATAGTGGATTTCTTGTTAACGATCGTTGTCTATTTGGTCTAGAGATATTTATTATTAGGCATATGTGCAACAAAGATATTATGACAAAAGATCCTGCTAATTGCAGCACATACACTTGGCCGATTTACAACTTTAGCACATTAAACTCGAAAATATATGAGTCCGAGACTTTCACCATATGTGGAAGAAAATGGTATGTATGTTATATAATATCTATATATGTATGTATAAGTATTTATTGCTCTTACAGTTAATGAGTTTGCCAAAATTAATAGTATATTGGTCGAGTGATTAAAATTTTTATATTTTATTTAAAAATTATGAATTCAAGTATCATTGAGAACGTAGAATTTTTTATTTTACGGGTATATATGTATGTATAAGTATTTATTGCTCTTACAGTTAATGAGTTTGCCAAAATTAATAGTATATTAGGCGAGTGATTAAAATTTTTATATGTTATTTAAAAATTATGAATTCAAGTATCATTGAGAACGTAGAATTTTTTATTTTACGGGTATTTTATAGATTGACAGTGATTGCTTTATAATGTTTAATTCAGTGGGACTAAAGATTTAGCTCAATGATGTGTTTATGAGATTATATTGATCTTGTTGAACTTAATCTTAGGGAACCAATTAGTTTTTGAGTGAAAAGAACATTTCGAGCAATTAGGTTCCTTCAGTTAGGATAGCCACAAAAGTTTAAAAACTTTCAATTTTTTTTTTTAAAAAAAACTAAATTTGCTAAAATTAAATCTTGTTAGTTAATTTATATAATCTATTATTTCAGGCACTTAGCAATTTATCCAAAAGGAGATACGAAAGAAGTAGCTGACAAATGGCTCTCACTCTACTTATACTTAGTTAACGCAAAATCCTTACCTTTGAAGCAGGAATATAAGATAAAGTGCAATTTTCGAATAAGAGATCAAGTCACTAGTAACCATTTTCAGATGTCATGTAAGTTCAAACTTTCACATATACATTTGATCGCATAGTTTTTTTTTTTAGTTGCAAGTTCATTATTTTTCAACTTCACACTTTTCTAAAAGAAATTTCTAATATTATTTTTTAAATCTATTTGGTTTTCAGTGACTAATACATTTAGATACCCTCCATGGAAGGCTTGGGGTTTTTCAAAATTTATTTCATTAGTAGATCTACTCAATGAATCAAAAGGTTATATTCGCGAAGATACCTTAATAATCGAGGTGATATTTACTTCCATAGTTATGCAAGATATTTTGTTGGAAATTTAGATTCTTGATTATATATATATATATATATATTTAATGGACAATGTACTACCAAAATATCATATCCTTCAGTTATGTTTATGAGAATTTTATTTTAATTATGTTGTAGACTAAGTTGAATGAATGTAAAATTATTTATTCATATAAGAACTAAAAATTTACAACTGAGAAGAAGATATTAGTTCATTGATAACTGTAATGACAAGATTGATCGGGTGTTCATTCAACTATATATATAGCAAAATTGAGTGAATTATAATTGAAAAGTATGAGCAAAGACATCCCAAAATCGGGACCAAAATGGCACAATAAGGGTGTCTCACAACTTCGAGTAATTAGATGACAAAGACTCGTTGAAAATTTAATTATTTTTTGTGAAAACTTAAGAGAGTTGCTGTTAATTTATTTGAGGTGGAATTAAAAATTCAAAACCCATATTTGTCATTTTTAAAGAAAAATGTTGGAAATAATCTCAAGTAGAAATGTGTGAAGCATCTATTACGAACATGATAATATACATCGATAATCTTCGAGAGTTGTTATTGATTTTTTTGAGGTGTAATTAGATATCAAACACACAATCATCGACCTTAAAGAAATTAAGGTCGAAAATGTCTTAGGTGGAAAGGTGTGAGACACACATTATCAGTTGTGTCTCCCTCTTTTAAAGTTCGATTTTTTCTATCTTTTTCTTGAACACCATGATTTTTATTGGGTTTGTTTCGATAATTATATTGGCTACGGAATAGGTCACAGGATGTATACAAATAGTAATATATTGTCAGTATAAGTTATTATTCTATATCAACAGACTTTCGATTTATATATATTAGTCTTTTACAGACAGTTAACTGTTGATAAAATTTTTTATCACTTATATCTGCTATCTGTTGATCCTGTATAAGATTCTAAATTTATATTATTAAATATAAATATTATTATTTAAAATACATTAAAATATTATATATATAATTACAAATACATAATTAAAATACATAAATTTCATAGTCATCTACAATATTTTTTACACAAATTCATAAGGATTAAATTACAAAATTCATTCATATCAACTTCATTTTATCTTCCCATACAAAAAATGTCAATTCATTTTGTTCTTATGCAAACTTTGAGATTATAATCGAAAATATACAATTCAAAGTTGATAATTAGTTATCTTCTCAACGTGCTAAAAACTTGAATGAAGAAACATATGGTCAAAATATCATATGATCGATCAAATTTGCAATGAAAGGATTTAGATGGTTGATCGTATTTGGAATAAATGGATGAAGAACTATATTTTTCTTAACGTGCAATAAACCCCATGCAATGCAAACAACATTTTCTTTTATCATTTTTTAAACTTTTAAAAGTACATCATCTTCGAAGAATGGATCGTGCACATTATCTAAAGTCCTTGCTTGGGAAGGATTTTTTTTTTTTCAAATTTCCCCTATGTTTTACAACCATAACATAATACTGATATTGACACTTCATTAACCATATGAATCTAAGTACACAACCATCACTCATCAATAAATCTGTTAAAGCTCAAAAAGTTAGAAGAAAATTGTTCACAGACTCATAGGTACTTGGAGTCCTCCCAACAATGAGCTTTGAGTTAAACTAGCAAAACCTCCCATGTTATTCAACTGAAACCTCAATGCTATAATTGGAAAAAGATTTTTGTTCACTTTTCTGAGTTAACCCTTTATTTTCTTCTCTCCCTCTGTCTCATGCTATATGGTATTTTTCGTCTTTTTGATTCAATCAAAATATTCTCTTTAACAATATGTGAAGAAAATTTTTAGTTTTTACTTAGCTGCTAGATTTGTCCATTCACCTCCTTCCCATTGCTTTTGCATGCGTTTCTTCCTTACTTAAAAGCTTCGAACTTTTACTCTCATATAAGAATAATGTAACGACCCCGGAAAATATAAAAATGAAATGAGTATTTAAATATATCAAATGCGGAAGCGAGATCAAAATTTCAGTTAACATCCCTTACACGAAAAACCAAACAAACGTACTTAAAATATAAAAGGTTAAACTAACTAAGAAAGAAAACTCGAAAATAAACTATGCGTATGACTACAGAGTCTCTAGGCATCCCCTTCGTCGTCCTCCTGCGGAACGGGCTCGGGAACCATGTCTTCCTGATCTGAAATGGTTAATTAAGGAGTGAGCTACACTAGCCCAGTAAGAACATCACGATATCTCACCGTCACGGAGATAAAGGTGGGTAGAAAACCACAAAAAGACCAATGGAGCATAATTTACAATAAACTCGTTTATTAACAACAAAACCTTTTATCAATAATAAAACTTTTACCATCCACTTACCTTGGTGGAATTTATGAAAACAATATGAGAAAACAATAACATTATCATAATCATTGAATAATCTAAGCTGTAAAACATAACACTTATCACGCCTCTTGTAATTCAATCATTGTACAACATATCTTTTTTTCTCATTTACCAGCCTACTAGTATCCGTGGGGGTCCATAGGGGTTCCGCTACCCGTTAACCTTTAACATTCATAATCAGTTTCCAGGGCCGTCCCCATACCCCGTCCGGTATGGGCGCCAAAACCATGAACCTCAATACCCCGTCTGGTATGAGGGTGAAACGGGCCGTCCCCATACCCCGTCCGGTATGGGCGCCAAAACCATAAACCTCAATACCCCGTCCGGTATGAGGGTGAAACGGGCCGTCCCCATACCCCGTCCGGTATGGGCGCCAAAACCATAAGATCTCCATACCCCGTCCGGCATGTGAGACCACAATCCCGGTAGGGTTCCCTACGGACCCGGTCCGTCCACCATCTCCCAGGATATCTAGTCAGGCTGACCCCCATAATACAATTATCAGTTTACACAATCTTTCATTTTTCCTTTTCCTCAATCAGCATCATCAATTCACATTTAAACAAGCAAATCGTAATTCATACCAAACAGACAACATACAGTATCAGTTTTTCAGTCATTCAACCCATAATTAATAAAAACGTAGTACATGCACACAAATCTGTAAAATGAACACATCAAACCTCATTTTGCATTTAAAGCTGTAAACAGGCCAAATAACAGTAAATCATCAATCACACTAGACTCGGGCTCCATTAGCAACCTTAAGCAATTTCACACATGCGTTAATTCAAGAAATACTGTTTTATCATTTTGAACTTTAATACCGTGATAGGAAATAGGGTGAGGGGTCCTTACTTGTTTTCGGGATCCGAATACGATTCACAGTGCGCCTGCAGGCTGTCCCTAATTTTCCCCTGAATTTTTCCCGGGGAACTGAAACACGCTAACAGTACCTGCACGGGTTCCAAAAAAAATCCAAATTAGGCCCAGGGCCTCTTTCGGCCCAAATCGCAACTCCGGCACGGCGGCTCCGCCGTGCTCCGGCGACGGCGCCGCCGCTGGCGGCGGCGAGTCGCCTCGGGTTGACTGTTTTCGGCCTTTTTGGCCGAATTCGGCCACACTCGCATTGGTCCTTGTCAGAAAACAACCCTAGGGCCCTCGGGGGGCCAAAAAATCACGAAAAAACGGAGCTTACCGGCGGCGGCGCTCTCGGGTACGGCGACTCTCCGGCGAAGTTCGTGTTTTGGTGATTTGGCTTCGGTCAACCTGTAGAGAAAAGAATGGTGATCACGGTGATATAAAAATTGCATCGAACGGAGGCCGGGAAGGGCCTCGTCGGAGGCAAAAACCGAGAGGGGGCGCGGCGGCGCCGCTGGGCTTCGGCCGCGTATTCCGGCCGTTTGGCCGGGATTTCGGCTTCGATTTGGCCATAGGAGGAATCAGTGGGGAAAAACGAGTCGGGGGTATGAAATTTACCTCGATCGGTGGTCGGAAATTTCCCCGGTGCGGCGGCGAGTGGCGGCGGGTGGCGGCGGTCGGCCTCTGGTTCGTCTTCTCCGGCGAGCGGCTGGCGGCTAGGGTTTTTTGGTCTGGTGTGGGGGTTCTATTTATAACCCCTTGCCTTTTGATCACAGCCGTTCGTTTCGTTTTAATCTGGGCCGTTCGTTTTTGATTGAATCTGGGCCGTCCGTGCGTTTGAATCTGGGCCGTCCGATCGCGTGATTGATCTGGGCCGTCGGATCGCACCCACGCGGATCGCCAACGTGGCTCCTTTCGGAGTGACGCGATCTTGCCACGTGGCAGGCCCCGGTTGGCCGGGACTGCTGACCGGGCCTGCTGACGTGGCTGCTGACGTGGCCCCCCCCTTTTTTTTTTTTTTTTTTTTTTTTTTTTTTTTTCCTCCTCCTTTCCGGGCGCTACAAATAATACTAAAATCTAGAAACTCTGAAGAGCAGAAGACATGGATTAAAATTTGAATCGACCAAAATCATCTTTTATTATAATCTTGTTAAGGGTAGTGGTATTAATAGTTACTTGATGTGATATGCTAATATCAAGGTGGCATGTATGTGGTAGTATATGTTGTATCGAATAAGTTCATAAAATGGATGAGTTATTAGAATAGATAATACTAATGTGTAGTTTGATTTCATTTGATTTTTTTGAAATCTTCTCTAATTTTAAATTATCTTGATTCCCAATCTACGTTTATCTTACAATTCTTTCCAAACAAAAGATTTTAATTACCAATTAATTTGAAAGATCTCTAAATTTAAAATTTTCAATAACCAAATAATTGGTTAAATAAAGTATTATCACACAAATTGCTAAGACTAGTAACATAATAAACTAGTTGCTATTAGATTTAGTTTACAAAATAAGAGTGAAGCACCACTCACTAGGGCATGCTAGGAGGACTAACAAGATGGTCTTCCTCTTGACATGCCACCTTCCCATAGGGCATGTCATCTTAGGCTTCTTCCCTCTTTTTACTCATTCTAACAAATATTTGATTTTTTATGACCTAATTAATGGTATTCTACCATAGAACTATCTAGTTTTAGGTCTTTAGGCCCTTTAACTATTTCAAATTAAGCATTCTACTAATACAAAGATGCATATGTATGGCATTATTAGAGTTTTTTTGTTGCGAGAAATGCATGTACGAAAAATTAGTGCATACACCAACTTAGA